GATCAATAATTTTTTTAAAGTAAATAGTCTTTTAAATCATGCTACAAATTCAAAATGGTAATGGGCTTATTTGTAAATGGAAATATTAATTAGAAATGGAGTGAGAAAATATGTTCTACTTTACACATTTTTAATATTTTAAATAATAAATTTTGAAACTCTAAATTTCAAAATTTGTAAAGAGAATGTAAAATTTTAAATACACTCGTATAAATGGATGTTTCACAGGCATCTAAGAAAGTTTCCAACTCAATTTTATAAGCATTTGTACAATAAAAAACTAATATTAAAAAAATTTAAAATCAATTCCTACTTATAGGTAAAAACAAATAAAATGGTACTTATGTATTATCGCAACAATCGCCAACTCTATTAATAACTCGCCGAGTTGGCATCCCCGATTTCCTAAACGCGCTGAAATGGCTACCATGTACTTCGTTTCATATAATTTCGCCAATAGGTTGCGGTAATAATTAAGAACCAAGAAAAATTTTATTTTAATTAATTAAATTTAATTAATAAATTAATATTTGAAAAAACTGTAATAATATCAAGTGTCATCCATTACAAGTTTAAAAAAATGGATTAGTACTTCAGTGGATGAATAAAGAGTATTTTATTAGCGATTGAATATTTGAGAACAAGATAAATAAATAAATAAATATGTAGAGAGGAGAGAGGGAACTTTGTTAGTAAAAATTAAAGAAAAAGGGAAAGGGGAGAAAGAGAATATACTGGACAACAGTGGTCTTCAAACTGTATCCAAGGGACTTCTGGAATAACTGTGTTCCAGGGGTTCTACGGGTTACAGAAAAAAAATCGAAAAGAAAATTATAAATGTGTATGCAAAATGGATTCACGTTCTCTGTGAAGATTATATGACCACAAGTATCTAAAGCTCTTCCCAGTCATAGAAAAAAAACTGAACATTTTATTTATACGTAATAGCTTTATATTTTCTTAATACTTTTAAAACTTATTATGCAATAAAATTATTTAAAAAAAACATTTTTTTTTTCTTTTTCTACCTACTAAGCTAAACTAAACCCAGTGGCGCAACAGCCCGTGAGGGCCAAGGCCTACTGTATCCAACTTTGTTTTCGGGACTTTGGGCGCTGAGATGCATGTGTAGATGTTCCGATCAGTGGTCAGTCTGACACGAAACCTCCAGCGCTTAGTCCCCAAGCAAGCTTGGTACTCATTTATCGATCCACAGAAGGGATGAAAGGCTGAGTCACCTTGTCCAGCCCGAGGATAGAACACCGAACCTGTGGTGTAGAAATGCGATACGCTGCCACTGGGCTTTCTACTTACTAGATTGTGAATATTCTGTTGTTACTATTCCGAGTTCCCCGAAATAATTTTATACCCTTTAGTACAATGTTTCGCAAACCTAAATAGTCTTCTCATTGAAAAAGCATTTTTCTTCATGTGTGGATAAACACCTCTAGTGAAGGAGAGGGAACATCTTATCGAAATATCAATAGAATCGGCACTAAAATTTAAGAACCGCTCCTAAGTTTTAGGATACTAATTCATTCAAATTCATCATACAGTTATAAACAATGTAATGCCATTCACAGAAAAAACAATGTATTTAAGTGAAAAATATTCTCATAAAGGGCTACAAAAACAAAATGTGAAAAAAAAATTAAATGCAAAATACAAATGCGACTACAGATAATTTTAATTGACCTAGATAGGCATCGACATGTTGTGTAAAAAAATTTAAGCATATTTCCCTGTTAATAAATATGACACTTGATCTGAAATTAACATTAATAAGTAAATTACACTAAAATAGATTAAATTATTTTAGTACAAATATGATACGAAGTAAAAAAAAAATTGAAAACTATTCCTCAAAGTGTGTTCAGAACGGGGTTCCCCCAAAACACCTTATAAATCCAAGTGTCCTGTGAGTCGAAAAAGTTTGAAGACCACTGCGGTATGAGAAGGAAATATCTAAAGGTAAAAATAAATGCAGAAGAAATATTTGAAAAATAGATTAGAGAAATATATCCTAAAATGTGTATTCAGAAAAAGTTCAGATTTTTATTTTTCGATTAGCGCATGTTCCTAGAAGTTTAGAAATTCAAGCAAAGGTTTGCGGTTTCTCTATCTCTTATCATCTGAAGGCACTTTATAAAGGAATGCTGAATTCGGAAGTTCACTTTTCTGCGGAAAAGGGGAGAAAAATCAAACACATTATGAATGTGATCCCCCAGAGAGAAAGCATTCAAACCTTGACAAGCCTGGAACACACCCCGCGAGTTGTCATTCAACCGAAAAGGGGTGTAAGTCATTAGTTCAATGTAGAGTGCCTTTGGTGTACGTTGGGTCATTTAGCGAAATCCTTTCTCTGACATTTTCCAGTGATTAAAATCCATTGAAGCGAGGTTGCCTTAAAGGAGAAGATGGGGGGGGGGAATTGGTTGTTCGTGACAAAGAGAGTTGCAATTACGAAGATTCGAGTCTAATTAAGGTGCAATTTCCCTAGCAAAAATAAAAATACATGGGCTTTGTTAAGAATTATGTGTTATAAATATATGTATATGTAACAGTTTTTAAGGAATTTTCTTAAAGCTTTCTTTTCTTGTTTCTTTTATCTACTTTCAAAAGTAAGATTATTTGCTTATTTTTTCTTATTTATTCATTTTGTTACGAATTCCTCTTCGAATTTCTGTTCCTTTTTTCAATCCCTTACTTTTGGTTCACTCTCTCCCTATATATATATATATATATCTTGTTCAAATTTTCAATCGTTAATAAAATATTTTTTATTCGTTCACTGAAGTTCAAATACATTTTTTAAACTGGTAGTGGATGACACATGATGTTAATACAGTTTTTTCATATATTAATTTATTAATTAAATTTTATTTTTTAATTTTAAATTTAATCTGCGTTATTTCTGACGAAGTTACAACTAAGCACCAACAAATTGTGCCAGTAAGTTTTTCTAAAGAATTTTTTCTTGATTTCAAATACTTTTTTTTTCATTAAGTTAAAAGAAAAATTTTTTTAACCCCTAGTGGATGACACTTGTTGTTGATACAGCTTTTTCAAATGTTAATTCATTAATTAAATTTAATTAACTGGAATAAAAATTTTCTTTGTTGACCTAAGTAGGAATTGACTTAATTTTTTCTTTTACATTACTTGTTTTAAGAAACTTTGTCATCAGGTATGAGAGAAAGAACAAAATATACTTTTTCCTCTTTGAGTGATTATTAACGTTGCGCTCAGAAGCAACGAAAAAGCGAATAGCAACAGTCCTCGACAGTTGAAACCACAGCCAAGTGTGGCGAGAATAATCGCCCATTCTCCAAACTTCAACACCCCGTCCTTGTGAGCACTTTTAACGTTCACACCAGGTTGGAAATCAACAATGACGGTCAGAAGCTTGTGACCCAAGCCTCTCAGCTAGTACGGCATCAAAGTGACTTTTATTGTATTTTAAGAAAACAAATAACAATTAATAAAATTTATCCCTTAGAAAATTAAGAGAGTTTTGAGTGATTTTCTTATAAGAATTAAAGCGAATCTGGAAAAAAAGATTCGAGAATACAAAAAAAAAAAAAAAAAAAAAAATTAGACTAGAAATACACAAAAAAAACTAACTTAAATATTGTTTGGTAAAGCGATATACATATTTTAAAGCCTACTATGTTAAAATTTAATTTTATCAAGCTCCTAATTTTTTCTAAAGTAATTATTTGAATGCATGGGCAACACAGCTTTTATGGTATTTCTCTGCACATTACAAAAAGGGTAAAATAGCTGCTGAATATCCATTTCGGAAATGGCAGAATTATCAGCCATCATTTTCCAGCAGTCTGATCGCCACGATCACCTGACCATAATCCTTGAAACTTCTATCTTTGTGAGAGGAAACTCTAAGAGATACTTAACGTTTTTGAAGATGTAATCTCTAACTTTGAACTTATGTACAGATAATCCTTGTGTTTTCGTATAAAATACAAACCTGCATGCTACAGAGATTTTCTATGAAGTACAAAAGGAATAATACAAATTTAGTTGTGAACAAAGTCGTTTTTATCCGAAAAATGTTTCTATTTAAATCACCTAAAAAGAGTGATGCTTAGAGAAAAAAATAATAAGCTTTATAGGATTAGCTCCCTAAGCTTATTTATGTGTTGGAGAAAATATCTAGCATTTATAAATTTATGTGGCAGTCACTAATCCAATTCAGTTAATGAAATATTTATGTCTTAGAAAAACTGAAATGAAAAATAAAAACGATTTTTCAAACGTTCAACAAAATTTCTAATATTTTATTTCCCCCCTGGAATTCTTATTAAGATATATCAAATGAAAATGGAAGTAAAAACATAAAAAAAAATTTCCAATAAAGATATATAATATTTTTTATGAAATTTTGCGAATTCTTTCAGACATTTGTTTAAATTGATTCGGGAGATTTATATCTGCGAAAAATTCGCTTTTTCTTCGTATTCCCAAAGTTAAAATTCTAACAATTCTTGTACCAGAAACATACAGAAGAAAACAAAAACTCCTCAAATTACATCGTACACAAGTTTGATATTTTTAAGTTTCTGTGAACATCTAATGGTCTCAATCCAAGTAAAAATGATTGAGTAAAACTAACAATCAAATCACACACAAGAGCAACTATTTAATGTGAACCAAAAGATCAAGTAAAAAACAAATAAAACAAGTAACATAAAAAACAAAAATTTTAAGTCAACTCCTACTTAGGTCAACAAAGAAAAATTTTATTTTAGTAAATTTTTATTAAATAATTACAATTAATATAAATATGTATGCACATATGACAAAATCACAATATTAAGTGACAAAATAGAAAGCGAAGTGCCTTGCAATTTTCCATTTTCCTTACCGATATATGGTGTTGGACTATTGCTTTTTTTGTTGCTATTTATTAATTCATTAAATTTAATTATTCCAATAAAATAGTATAGTAAAAAAAAAAATCACATTTTCAGAAATTAGGCCATCCCACGTGGAAATCGAACCCACAACCTTTGGATTACAAGTCCAACGAGTTACCCATTGCGCTACAGGGACACAGGAAGCGATTTTCCTTTTTATATATAATGTTGGACTATTATTTTTGTTTGTTACTAATTATTCATTAATTAATGAATTAATATTTGTAAAAACTGTATTTGAACTTAAATGGATGAATAGAAATTATTTTATTAACGATTAAAAATTTGAACAAGATATATATGTATCAATATATATATATATATATATAAATTGATATATATATATATATGTATATATATATGTATATATATATGTATATATATATATGTATATATATATGTATATATATATGTATATATATATATGTATATATATGTCTATATATATATATGTATATATATATGTATATATATATATGTATATATATATGTATATATATATATGTCTATATATATGTCTATATATATGTATATATATGTATATATATATATGTATATATATATGTATATATATGTATATATATATATATATATATATATGTATATGTGGCATCCAGGATCCAATCGTCAGCAGACAACGCAGTCTTCGCGCGCAGGCGCAGCTAAGTGAAACACGAACTAAAACCTTGAGAAACTTTAACCATTGAAGAGAATATTAGAGAAGGAAGAAGGACTGAGGTGCGCAAGCAGGCGTTACCGTCATCGCATCATGTAAACCTATCTGTTAGAATAGCTACCTTTTTAATTAATTTTTGTTAGTTGTAAAATAAATGTGAAGAAAGACAAACGTCTTGGACCCCTTGTTGTCTCCCACAAATTATGGGGGCTCGGCCGCGATCGATAAAATTTCGATTTGAACCAAAGTTTGGACAGTGAACTAAAGCAGCGTCCGTGAAGGAGACGCGCCGCCATTTTTTGGAAACTTCGTTCAACCTGTGTAGAGGTTGAATTTTTAAAATTCATTCCGCCTGTGTAGAGGTCGGAACTATTAACAAAATAACCTGTGTAGAGGTTGAATTTTTAAACTTCGCTCAACCTGTGTAGAGGTTGAATTTTTAAACTTCATTCCGCCTGTGTAGGGGTCAGAACTATTAACAAAATAACCTGTGTAGAGGTGAATTTTTCAACGAACCCTGAATATTCCGCCTGTGTGTAGAGGTTGGAACTAACTCAGTGTGAATAATCCGCCTGTGTAGAGGCCGGAACTACAATTTCAAGAACTATATTACCTGCGAAGAGGTGAGATCAGTGGAATCAACGTTTTTCTTCAATTATTGGATACATCGTACGTGCGAGCAACAAGGGAGCTAGAAAAAAAAAGGTAGGATCTTTCCATATTTTTTCTAAAATGTATAAAAACGCTCTTAAAGAGGATCTCATAAGAGTTGTTGAGGATCTAGACGGTACTGTGGAGAGTACGGACACCATAGCTAAACTAAAGACTAAAATATTGAGAACAGTAGTACATTTGAAAGTGATCCATATTTCGTTAAAACTTTAATTAAAAACTGTATAGATGAGAGGGTATCGCGAAACGAAAGGGATTTAGAAAAACAGAAAATTGAACTTGCTAAACTTCAGTTAGCACAATTAGAAAAAGAAGTCGAACTTCAAACGGCTAAAAATGAAGCATTAAGTTTAAATCCTACAGCTAAAGTCGAAGAGAAACAGTTCGAAACAAACATAGAAAACATGATCAAAAGCATTTAAAATTTATCTCTTCCTGTTCCCACCAGATCTGAAAATTTTAATCTGTTCTTCCAATCATTAGAACGCGCATTTTTAACCAAGAAAATAAATGACGAATATAAATCTGAAATTTTAATAAATCTTCTGGGCGAAAGAGCTCATAATGTCTTACTGTATATTAAAAAGGAGGAATTAAATGACTATGAAAAACTAAAATCTATAGTACTCAGAGAATTCCAATTAACCCCTCGCGAGTGTTTAAACTCATTTAAAAAGGCTGTAAAATCATCAGGCGAGACATACATCCAATTTGCTGCAAGATTGACGGCAAACTTCCAATATATATTATTGTTCGTTAAGAAAAGTTAATTCCTTTGAATCTCTATGTGATCTTATAATTTCTGATAAATTATTTGAAACTTTAAATAAGGAAACCGCAACTCATATTGGCATTCGAGAAGCAGAAGATTGGTTTAGTTCTATCGATTTAGCTAAAGAGTGCGATATTTATATTTCATCTAGAAGCGGATCACGTAAAGATAACTATCCCCAATATCTTGAAAGAGAAAATAAAAATTGCTATATATGCGGTGATTCATCTCATTACGCAAGAGACTGTGAGAAGCGTTTTAAGCTTAAAGAATCTAACGGCCACATCCATAATCGAAAAAACGCGAATACTTTGAAAGTCGAGAGCGAAAAACAAAATAGCGATGAGTTCGCACAGCTTCAATATGTAAACATTTTTGTGGAAAATCAGCCCGTAACAGCCTTGATTGATTCAGGTTGCCAGATCCCAGTTCTAAATTCCTCACTAATTAGAGTGCACAAACCTTCCGAAGAAATCATAACATTAAGCTCATGTTTTGGCGAACAGCGTATGGTAGAAGTTAAACCGATAAATATTTCTCTTAATCAACTCTCTCCCGGTTTAAGTGTTCGAACGGCAATATCACCGACCTTGACCGAAGAATTTATTTTACATCCCAGTGTATATGCTGAAATAAAGAAACTAGGCCACGCAAAGAGCGATGTTTTATTGAGTGAAAGTGGATCCTCTTTGGGTGCTGATTCTGGTGCTCATTCTAATTCTATTTTTTATGTTGCGAATGTGATAGAAAACTCTAGTTATGATTTGTCACATGTTAAAAACTTTAATATTAGAAATGATATGAGTTCTCTAATTAAGAATTATAAATGTAATAAAATTAAGAGTACTAAGTTAGAAATGGGCATTATAAGAGAAAAATGATATTCCTGTGTGTCAGAGAGCCAGACGTTTATCTTGTTCGGAGAAATTACAGGTAAACGATCAAATTGATGATTGGTTACAACAAGGTATTATAAAACAGAGTGTTTTTGATTATTGTTCACCTATGAAGAGTAAACATAGACGGTTTGCGATGCTCCGGAGAATCTTCCAGCTCTGGCAGTGGAAACGGAGGAAAAAGAGCAATCGTTTGGAACAGACGTCCAGAACTCTAGAGAGGAAAATATCGATGCGTTCAACTAAAGAAGAGTTCATTAAAAAAGGCGTTCTTATGCCTGATGGATCTGATAAAAACCAAGATAGCAAAATAAATGTTTTCCTGTTGAACCTTCCGGATGTCGAAGAGGTGCCTTTACATGATGGAGAAACTGTCTAGTTCAGAAAAATTATGATATGTTAAATCTTTGTGTATTTGTCGTATAGTCCTTGTCTGTTCCGTCTTTTTTGTATGTTTCAGATTCTCCTCTGGTCTCGATGAAAAAGGAAAAAAGGAATACGTACCCCTGCGGACAGCGTACAGTCAGGTTGGCCGGTTGTGGCATCCAGGATCCAATCGTCAGCAGACAACGCAGTTTTCGCGCGCAGGCGCAGCTAAGTGAAACACGAACTAAAACCTTGAGAAACTTTAACCATTGAAGAGAACATTAGAGAAGGAAGAAGGACTGAGGTGCGCGAGCAGGCGTTACCGTCATCGCATCATGTAAACCTATCTGTTAGAATAGCTACCTTTTTAATTAATTTTTGTTAGTTGTAAAATAAATGTGAAGAAAGACAAACGTCTTGGACCCCTTGTTGTCTCCTATATATATATATATATATATATATATATATATATATATATATATATATATATATAGGAGAGTGTGAACTAATAGTAGGAATTGAACAAGCTAAAACTCACCATTTAAAAAGTAGCTGAATTTAGTTCATTAATTTGGCTTTTTTAGTATTGTATATTAATTGATATTTGTTTAATATTAAATTCATCATGCTTGCTGTAAAAAAGTTTTTAAAAGTACGGTAGAGATCCAAAAAACTCGGCTCTCGACAACCCTACAGTCCGGATAACTCGGTGGCACCCTTACCCTTACAGGTTCTTTGTCGCATTCGTGATGAAGCAGCAAAACGCACAGTGCAGTGCGCGGAAGATAACAGAACATTTCGCATATCTTTGAAAAAGCTGCCAGTTGTTCCACAGTTTGGTACTTAATTTAATTCCTGCGATCAGCTCACTCCCTATATATATATATATATATATATATATATATATATATATATATATATATATATATCTTGATAAAAATTTTCAGTCGTTATATAATAAAATACTTTCTATTCATCCATTCAAGTTCAAATACATTTTTTGAAGTAGTGGATGACACTTGATGTTAAAATATGCTTTTTTCAAATATTAATTCATTAATTAAATTAAAAACTGAATAAATCGTAACAAACAAAAATAATAGTTCAACAATATATATAGAAATGAAAATTGTCCGAGGTGTCCCTGTAGCGCAATGGATAGATCGTTGAACTTCTAATCCAAAGGTCGGGAGTTTAAATCCCTCCTCGGATGGCCTATTATTGATAACGTTATTTCTTTTTTTCAATACTACTTTATTAGAATAATTAAATTTAATTAATGAATAAATAGTAACAAAAACAAAAAAAAATAGCCCAACAAACTACATAGAAAGGAAAATGGAAAATTGCGAGGAAAATCGCTTTCTATTTTGCCACTTAATAGTGGGGTTTTGTCGTTAGTATATGCATATTTATATTAATTGTAACTATTTAATAAAAAGTAACTAAAATAAAAAAAATTGACCTAAGTATGAATTGACTTTTTTTTGTATTACTTGTTTTTAATATAGACAGATCTATATATTCATAAAGTATTTTTCTGTGGTGTGTCTGATCAGGTAAGTCACTACATACAATGTGCCTATACTTTATGCCTTCATAAAGTACGTACTTTTCCTTTGGGTATTTTGACAGCTTATTTTCTGTTGTATGCGTACAAGTGTAGTACAATATTTTCTAAGGAAACACTCCACTGTACTATAATTCTTTTTAAATCCCATTCTTGATAACCCGGCATTTTCACAAACTCAGCC